GTAAAGTGGAAAGCAGTAGAAACTGAGGTACACCACACTACAAATTGAATTAATTTGGTTAAGCCATATCCTGAGTTTCTAAGACTTGAGCTGGATAGTTGATCTTGGGAAGTGCTCACACATAGGATTGCCACAAGATGGACTTGCTTGATGGCAAACAACAGTAACAACGACAATGTTATTTTTAATTCATTTCTTTCCACCTCTAGTCAGTGACTTTCCTCTGCCATCTCTAGTCTTTCCCTCTTTCCAAACATACATGGGAAGAAATGATGGGAATGCTCTGAGCAAAAAACATTATCCATGCACAATCTAATGGGAAAGATTTACTATGAGGCTGATCTTTAATTTGTGGTGTGAATTATAAGGCAACATAACAGTGAAATTACTAGCATCAAACCACTACAGAAGGAAAGACACCTGTACTCCAAAGTATCCCCGAGCATATTGCAAGACATTTCCAAACCAGCCCTCACCTCCATATGCTTGTAAAGCTGCTTTTAATTGTAGTATAAGATGACAATGATGATGATGATATAAAGTGAAGTTGGTTTACTTGTTAACTGGTTTTGATATTTTTCCACTCTGAATTGAAATGGAGGGACCATCTGGAAAGCTCTATAGGAGCTTGAGTTCTTGTGACATAGTTTTAAAGATTTTAGTTCTATGTCCATTCACTACATTATTTTCAAGGAACTGCTTGTAGCACGTTATTATAATGATTCCAAGGTTTTTTTAAAATCAGGGTACAATTTAATGATGTGATTCTGTGGGGTTTCAAGGGCAAATTTTCTCCTCTTTGAAATTAAAATAATTTTAAGTTATAAAGTAATAGTTCTAAATTGTATTTCATAAATGAACTATAGTAATATAATTCTATACACAATACATAAAAACAAGAAGGGAATATAGGACTTGGTTGTACAAAGTTGCTATTCCATAGCAGTTACACTGACATTGATGATAGATACATACTGGGATAGATACCTTCTACATTACACTTCTTTTCATTTGTGGAATTGCACCAATTTGACAACTTCTACACACTCTTGTAGGAGCTGTGGTGGCGCAGTGTGTTATTTATTTATTTATTTATTTATTTACTTTATTTCTATACCGCTTTTCTCAGCCCTTAAACCGTTAAACTGCAGAACTTGCTGATTGGAAGGTTGGCCATATAAATCTGTGTACGGGGTGAGCTCCCATTGTTAACTCAAGCTTCTGCCAACCTTGCAGTTCAAAAACATGGAAATGTGAGTAGATCTATAGGTACCACTTCAGCAGGAAGAGAACATTGCTCCATGCAGTCATGCCAGCCGCATGACCTTGGAGGTGTCTACAGACAATGCTGGCTCTTCGGCTTATTTATTTATTTATTTATTTACGACAGTTAGAAATGGAGATGAGCACCACCACTCCAATTTGGGCTCAACTCAACTTAATGTCAAGGGGAAACCTTTACCTTTGTAAAGGTACCATTACCCTTGTAATGCTGCCTTTCTCCTTTCTCCTGTTCTGTATTTTTTTAAAAAAATGAGGGAATTTTGCAAACATAGCTGTAAAATATCAAATACCGTACATAGAAAACAGACAGCCTGAGAATAGTGAAGGGAGAGGGGGAGAATTACTCCCCTGTCATCATTTTACTGCTGCCATGTTGGCATAGAAGTCAGGTGGACCCATTGTACCAAGCTAGGTGATGAGAATGTCCTGGGATTGTGAGCTATTGATGGGGTTTGCACATCAATAGCAAAAGATGAGTTAACTGAGGTTTGAAGATGGGGATTAAAATACCGCAGCTAGTGACAAATGTGTCAGAAAATAGTCCAAGCGTCCTAGAAGTAGAGCAACAAAAACTCCAGCTTCTGATACATCTGAAAGAGCCCTAAAATGTAAATAAACAAGGGAGAAAGAAAGATAATGAAATATGAAACTCAAAACATGTAAACATTAGCAAACTGGATTTACACAAGATCCTTCCAAATTATTATGTGGAGTCCTTCATTCCTTTCCCTCCATTCCATTTTCATCTCTATCATTTCTCCTGCTGAAATGTACTATCAAAGCAGAGTATGGCTAAACATTATGCTTGATTATTGTGGTGAATTAAGTAATCTGCCAGTATAATGAATTAATTAGTACTCTAATGTTAATACCCTTTACAGGGCCTGGCATTTCTTTGACATTAATAAGATACACTTGCAGAAAGAGAGATTCTTTGAAGGAATTTCAGCCTAAAGTCAGTAGGCACAGTGCCTGCATTCTCTTTAATGATCAGTACTTAGTATTCCAGGTTAATCCTGATTGGCAACTTAGTGTTTCTATAGAAAGAAAAGAAAAACATTTCCCTGGTTAATGAGGATTTCTTTCACTCTCCTAGACAGGATTAATTTAAATGGAGTAACACGGTCAAAAACCACCATTTTAATAGATATTTCTTTACATGTAGAAGTCTTTCTGCAGAATTTCCAATGAAGGACTCCTGCGTGGAACAAGCCAGAAGAGAGAGAGAGAGAGAGAGAGAGAGAGAGAGAGAGCTCCTTCTTGTTCTTCCTGTTCCTCTGCAGACATTGTGATACCTTCATGTTCCAGACGTCAATATTTTGGGGACTGTTTGTTCTTCTGTATAGATTAGCCACTTTAGGCAACTACTTTGGGAATATTTCTTTTTATTCTTTCACCCAGCAACTGTGAATAGCCTTCACATACAGGCTGAAATGCAGAGTATGCATTGTATTGCATCAATATGCATATCTCTAAGGAACACTGTCAAGAAGGCTGACATTCATACTTGCCTTTAAGCATATATGACTCATAAGAGCTCACAATGACCTATTAGAGAATGCACCAAATGATGCAACTTAAGCACAGGAAATTAAACTATGTTAATTGAACTTTGGGAGTGTTCTGATTTCTGGATACAATACAAATTGTCTCTCCTCCTGATCAAGATATGGTCAAATGCAGGCCAGGGGAGGCACCTCATGGTTTTCTAATGATCACCTTGAGTGTCCTCTATTTTGACTGCCTGATGCGGATCAGCAAATATTGCCCTCTGCCATGCCTACAGGGCATATAGATCCTAAAGATAGCCAAATTATTTTGCCACATGTATTCTGGGTATCAAAGTTCAAGGAGAATATTGACAAGCTAAAACATGACCAAAAGGTAAAAGACCTGGAAACAAAGACCCATGAAAATCGGCTTGAGGAGCTGGGTATGTTTAGCTTGGAGAAGAGGAGAGGTAACATGATAGTAGGAACCTTTAAATATATGAAATAATGTCATATTGAAGATAAAAGAAAATTAATTTAGTTTGCTTCACAGACTAGGATACAAACCAATGAATTGAAATTATAAGAAAAGAGAACATTAGTAAGAACTTTGTTAACAGCTGTTGGACACTGGAATAGATTTCCAGGGAGATCAGTTGACTTTGGTGATCTTTAAATAGAAGTTGAATAGCCAGTTTACAGTAGTGTTTTAGTTGTGTATTCCTGTATGACGGGGCTTTGCAATAGAGTCCAGGCATGGGCAAACTTTGGCCCTCCAGGTGTTTTGGACTTCAACTCTCAGAAATCCCAGCCAGTTTAACTGGCTGTTAGGAATTGTGGGAGTTGAAGTTCAAAATACCGAGGGCTAAAGTTCGCTCATGCCTGCATGACAAAACTATCCTTCTCAAGTCTATGATTCTATGAGGCAAATAATCTCACCAGTAGCTTTGTGCCCTATGCATCAATTCTAGCAATGTTTAAAGTAACATACCACTGTTAAGAGCTATTTTGTAGGGCTGGGCGGTTTCGTTTCGTTAATTCATAATTCGTTAATAATTCGTTAATTTTTTTAATTACAAAACGATAACGAACCATTCTGGAGCAATTTTTTAAAAAAACGAATTTTTAAACACGTTTTGTAAATGCTTCGTATTTCGTTATTGTATTCGTTTCGTTATTGTTCTGAGGTCGTTTTATTATTATTTCCGCATGTCTGGGACAAGCTTTTTGTTTAATTAGTGAAAAAAAAATATAATATCACACCAACAGTCAACAACAGAGGGAGAGGGAAGCTTCAGAAGTTTTTGGAGGTTTTTTAGCGTATTTCACGGTTGCGTCCGCCATTAACGAATGGATTCGTTATTGTTTCGGAAATCGATTCGTTAATGTTTTGTAATTTTTTTCACATTTACGAAATTTTGTAAATATCGAACTTTTTAAAAGGAAAATTTTGTAATTATTTTAAATAACGAAACGCAAAAACCCCCAAAAAACGAATCGATTTTAGAAACAAATTTTTCCGTTGTTACCCAGGCCTACTATTTTGATGTGACCTGGGCCATGTTTCAGGGAGCCATTAGAAAAAAAGTAATAAAGATAGACACCAAATACATGAAAGAATTATCAAATTATGTAAAATTAGCCATTATTAGCCTAGACTGACTGAGTTGCTAGGAAACAACAGAAAGCAACAAGGTTGACATGTACTCTTGTGAAAATATATGTGGTCCAAATCAAATTATCAACAACAGCAACAAAAGAATGCACATAACCTATAACACCTCCCTACAGTTAAGGGAATTGAATTTCTTTCTGCATTTTCTGAAGTGTAGGCAGATTTTTAAAATAACAATAAACAAAAAATAAACAGACATGGCACTATTTATTTGCTCTGTTTTCTCCTCTTTGTATTTCAGCATTTATAAGGTGCACTGCTCCCACCCCATGTTGGAAAAGAGAGTTTTGTTTCTCACTGAGATTCTATCATTGTTTGGGAGTGTGGCAATATAGTAAACCTTGCCACGAGGGATTGCTTACGGGGAATTTATTTCCCCCTTTCTCAAGTTGTGCAACATCCTGCTACTGTAGTAAAGGGGAAAAAGTGCTGAGTAATGCTAGATTTGGATCCTGCTCCTATGGCTGATGCAAACCTGGAGAATTTGCATCATCATTCAGCAAGAGTAACTTGGTATGACAGGCGAGCTTAAATACAAGACCATGCGGAAGCTGAGCCGGCTTCCAATGACAGAGCGGCATAAAGGTGGCTGGGAGAAAGGGCAGGTGTTCCTGAGTAGTGTTTAGACAGCCGTCCAAAGTAAAAGACACTTGAAGAGTTTGATACTTGTTGGCACAAGTGGGTTGAAAGGCTGCAGGCGGTGTGTGTTCGTGTATGTGTGTTTTTAAAGGAGTTAGCTAGTTAGACAAAAGGAGGGAGAGAGGAAAGAAAGACCCGAGGTGGCTTTCTGTTCAGAGAGCTTTTCAAAGTTCTCAGCTTGGTGTGTGGGCAGCACCAAAACATGTTTAGGAAGTCTCCTGTGCCGACAATCTCTAATGGCAGCTACCTGCAGGGGCATTCAAATGGCACATTGCCCTCTGGCTTACACACCAAGGCGGCCCAGAGAGAGAAAGTGGTGCTGAAGAAGAAAGTGACTTTGCTGAGAGGGATATCCATTATAATTGGCACTATCATTGGAGCAGGGATCTTTATATCTCCCAAAGGAATCCTCGAGCACACAGGCAGTGTGGGCTTATCTTTGACGGTCTGGACTGTCTGTGGCATCCTGTCACTCTTTGGTAAGTTTGTGAGCATTCATAATTGACCCACTGGGGTAGATATAAGATATTTGATTCTGGGGATTAAAAGCCTGGTTTGAGACTTACTTGTACTGCTTCAGTATTTTATTTTATTTTTTGGTGGGAGGGAAGAAGGTCTTTTGCTGCTTGGCAAGCATTCAGATACTCACACAAAACTCCGAGGAATACTTTTATCAGAACTTTTAACACCAAGCGATATTCCTTACAATTCCCTGTAGTAAGCGGAGAGGCTAGTCTCCTTTAGCATATCATAAAGTTTGCAGTCTGTATTGACTTTCTGTTGAGAATGAGTTGTAGCATGCTGGTGGAGGGTTGACAGCAAGGGAAATGAACTGCTTAGTCTGAAGAACACCTGCAAATATGCGCGTCATTGGCTATACAAAATGCAATGGGGTAAAGTCTGCTGAACTATTTTCTGGCAGGAAGGCAGTGGTGTGGATGAGGGAATAATTAAACTGCTTTTTTTAAAAATAAAGAGTTTACATTTTCAAATCCATTTGGAATTTATGCATGTGGAATTGGAACACCTCACCACTTATCCTTAAATGTCAGAGAGACTTCTTTCATGAAAGATAGGCCCATTGCCTACACTTATTTATTTTATTCTGTTCAGTTGTCTAGCAGGTGTAACTTTTGCAGGTTTCATTATTCATGGATTTGATTAATATATTCTCTCTAGGAATCTTTAGGTCTTCCAGAAAAAGTCTATGGTCAACCGTTACCATAGAGTCATATTGTAGGAACTTTAGAATCTTAGGGAAGTATACTCTTGGGGAAAAATATAATGTTTTTTGCGTTGCTGTGAGTTTTCCGGGCTTTTATATTTAGTGCCTTCCAAGTCGTCCAGTCTTCTGTGTGCCGAGGGGGAAGTCTCTCAATCGGTATCAGCTATGGCTTGAGGTTCCGGGTTTTAGCTTGCCACTTCTAGACTCTCGCTTGCTGAGGTGTTCCTGTGAGTATCTCTGTAGATCTTAGAAAACTATTTCTTGATTTAGGGCATTGGCTGGGTCCCCTCAGCCTCTGAGGATGCCTGCCATTGATATGGGTGAAACATCAAGAGAAAATTCTTCTGGAAGTTGGCCATGTAGCCCAGAAAACTCACAGCAACCCAGTGATTCTGGCCATGAAAGCCTTCAACAACATAACCTTTTTTTATTTGTGTTTTTCATTTTTGCGAGGGTCTTGTGTACCTACCTCCTATGAATGCAGAGGGCTGCCTTTATTAGTTAACGCATAAGCATCTTTCATCTAATGAGCTCAATACTCTTCTCTGTCTCTAATGCATTGTCACAACAACTCTGTGTGGTAGGTCTGTCTAAGAAAGCTAAAGGCAGTCCATGAAATGTATCTGAACCCAAGTGAATTGACTGGCTCAGTGCAAATTGGAACAGGGGTTTCCAGAATAGTAACCAAGAAGCCACAACATAGTTCTATCAGTATTAAACCTGTAATTCTAGCAGTGAATACTGACATTTAAAACAGGTTCTGAAGCTCTCAAAATAAGGCTGATGGTATAATTCCACACCTATTTGGCTTTAGAAAGCTCTATCATGCTCAATGGGATTGGATTGACTTCTGTGTAGACATGTACATGTTTACATTGCTAGGGAGCCAATGCTCACAGTTGTTGTTTTTTGTTTCTACAAAGACTGATATGCAAATAAGACATATCACCCGATCCTTAAATCTGCTGCATAATGAGTTCCTTGACTGCTTTAGCAAGTTAGTCTAGGATAAGTCATAAGCCCATAGCATTACTATCAGACCAACCTTCTTATGTTTTGGTACTAGGAACAATCACCATTACAGAGGAATGTCAGTTCTTCATTCAGGCAGTGAAATAGGTGGTTCTTCCCTTGTAGGAACTTCCTATGCATTATGCAAAGTAAAGAACACAGCTCAGAAACCACCCTTGCTAAACATCCAGCCAGATGAAGTCAAACTGGCTTTTGATCGAAAACAGAACATATAGTACTTGAGCAAATAATTATCTATGGGTACATTTTCATTATAAATAGTACAGCATATGGAATGTGTTTCTGTTTAAGCTGCTTGTTAAGTGTGCTTGCTCATGGAGGTGTGGAGTGAATAAGATAACGTGAGTTCAGATGTAGTATTCCGGCCTTTTGCAACATGTAAATGTATATTTTGCATTGGAAAAATTGCCTCATGGATTCTGCAAGAAGCGATCCAGTTTCAGAATTCTTAGATTTAAATAAAAAGTAGGAAGCCAACAAACGGTTAGACTAAATGCTCTGAAACTAATTTGAGATATTCATTTAAGTTTATATTAAATTTTTTCCTAGAAATGAATTAATTTTATTAGCATAAATATAAATTAGGTTTTTTTTTAGCCTAAATCCAAATGTTAGTTCAAACTGGAGTAGACACATCAGATAAAAAACAACAACGTAGCAATAGAATCAATAGTTTTACTCTGGTTGGGATTAGCAATTGGATTTATGCAATTAACAGTGTACTAACTCCTAATATGGGTTAGTTGCTTAGAAAAATAACCTAGGATACCAACTTGCCCTAGCCTATTTAAACATGTTTTTTGACCCTTAGGTAAAACGGGTTAATAAACCTGGAAAGTGAACCTTAAAACAACCCCTGGTGGTGCAATGGGTTAAACCTTTGTGCTGGCAGGACTGTCGACAATTTGAATATGTGGAGCTGGCGGAGCTCCCATCTGTCAGCTCCAGCTTCCTAAGCGGAGACATGAGAGAATCCTCCCACAGAATGGTAAAACATCCAGGCATTCCCTGGGCAATGTCTTTGCAGACCGCCAATTTTCTCACACCAGAAATGACTTGCACCAGAAAGTCGCTCCTGACACAGAAAAAAAAACACACCTATTGAAAATCTACAATATTAAAAATGGTTTATTGGTGGTAACAAATCATACAGTAAAATACAGTATACTTTTCCACTGGCAGTTTTACTATTGCCTTCTTCATGTTAAAAAGAAATGACAGCTAATGAAAAAGTGTTTTAGAATGTGAAGTATTAGCTAAATGTGATTAATCTTTCTTTCCTGAGCTGTGGTTTAATATTAACTCCTATTTTCATAGGTGCTCTCTGTTATGCTGAACTAGGCACAAGTATCAAGAAGTCTGGTGGACACTACACTTATATCCTTGAAGCCTTTGGCCCATTGCCTGCATTTGTAAGAGTTTGGGTTGAACTGCTGGTTATACGGTACATTTTTGCTTCCTTTTTCTGTTCTTCGTGTGCTTTTGAATGTCAAAGAACAGCTTTAAATTTGTTATAGATACACATAGATCTTTTCATCCTGTTCTTTAACCAGTACAGCAGAGAAGGCTAAAGACCTTGTACAACTACAACTACCATGATTCTATAGCATGGTGTCAAACTGCATTAATTCTACAGTTTTACACAGTTTATGCATCCTTAGTTATACGGAATACCAACTATACCCATACATTGTCAATATGTAATTAACTGCTTGAAAGGAAGTAAGACTTGTAATTTCATAATCTTAAATGCTTTGTATGGTGTTTTTGTAATGAGGTTCATTTGCATACAATAAGAGTCATATTATATTTAAACAAATCTCCAGAGACTCTGAAATAAAGCTGCATAAAAACTTATTTTTTTCTGGAGTATTTTCATAGATAGGGGATATTCAAATACCCCCAAAACTCTCATATGCATATGGATTGTGTGCATAACTGTAAGAAGCCAGTAATATAGCAGTTGAGCCTTGCATTATTATTTTGGGCAACCTTGGGCAAAACATACTCTCTCAACCTCAGAGAAAAGCAAAGACTAACCTTTTCTGAACAAACCTTATCAAGAAAAACTCATTATAGGATTGCATTAAGATTACCATGACCCCATCTACACTGTCATATAATGCAGTTTAAAATTCCATTGTATAGTCAGTGTAGACCAGGCATGGGCAAACTAAGGTGTCGGGCTGAATATGGCCCTCTGAGTGTTTACCTCAGGCCTTCCTCATTTCCCCTGTCTTCTCAGCATAAGGACACAGTGGCCTGCCGCTTCCTTATGCAGAAAGGACATGGGAAAAAGGCACACGGCAGCTGAGAGCTCTCTGGAGCACTCTCAGCAACCGCATATCTCACCCTCCTCTCATCATAAGGATAGTGCAAGTAGCCCCACCGTTGGGCTGAGAGGACAGCCTAAGGAAGGCATGCAGCGGTGGAGAGATCTCTGAAGTGTTCTCAGCCAGTACATGTTTTGCCCTCCTCCTGGCATAAGGACAGTGAGAGCGGCCCCATCCTTATGCCAAGAGGATGGCCCAAGGAAGGCACACAGTGGCTGAGAGCCCTCCTGTGCACTCAGAGCCATTGCCTGTCCTGCCCTCATCTCAGTATAATGCCTAGATGACAGCCTGAAGATCAGGGAAGGAGGATCGGAGAGGAGGATCACGGTAGTCACTGCTTGTCTCATTTTCCTCCTGGCATATGGATGAGGCGAGCAGCCCCATCTTTATGCCAGGAGGACCTGAGGATGACCAGGGCCCTGAACTGTCCCTTCCCAGCCCCACCCTCTCCCAGACCCTCTCCCTCCTGGTTCTGTCCCACCTAGCGTGTGCCCGGCTGCCCTCCCAGCTGGTCTGGCCCTCTCAGTCAGGCCACAGTGTGGCTCCAAGGCAAAAAAGTTTGTCCATGCTTGGTGTAGACTCATATATAATGCAGTTTAACTGCATTAAATATATGGGGCCCATAAGTCAGAAATGACTTGAAGGCACATAGAAACAAAGGCATTATCAATAGAAGAAAGGTTAAGAGTGTGAGTCTGTTGAGTTATCTTTCTATTTAGGATTTGCAGCCAGAGATATCTAGTTCTCACCACATTACAAATTCTAGTATTCTATAGGCATAGCAGTTAAAGTAGAATTATAATGCTATAGCTGTGTAATGTGAAAGGGCCCCTGTGGTTCAGAACTAATTGGAAACTTCCTGGTAGGTGGCGTCAATACAATATGAAAATGTATGTTACACTGTGTTGCCTGGGTGTCTAAGTAACACAGCTGGCTAAACTGGTTTAGTTCTATTGAGCCCTTCAATTCTGTCTCAGCTACCCATTGGAAACCTACAATTGTATAGCCTGTTAGTTACAATAACAGATAGCACAATGGCTATGTGGATTACTTGAAATTCACTTTGTTGTGGGTCATTTAAACAGGTTTCCTAACACAGCAAACAGAATGATTGGTTATCAGTTTATCTGTATCTAGTCTAGCCTCTTGATCTATTTACCCGGTTCTGCATTTATAGTGACATGTTACCAAAAGTAATTTAGGCCTGTGAAATGAACATTCCCGCTCATTTCCTCTTTTCTTTTAATCCAGACAGCTCATTTCTATTGCCACACACACCTACGTAACAAGCTGTAGCAAACAACAAAGGATTTCATTAAATACAACAATGCAAAGTCACTGTGAGTTTGGGGTTTGTTTCAAACACGTCATTCTTCTTGCAAACTCGTAAGAGCCCAGAATTAATAACCAAACCTTATCTGGCCCACACTTAGCACACAAAACAAATAAAGGCAGAACACTACGGAATGGCTAAAAGTGGCCCATGAGTTGGTAGACATGCTTGTTCAGACCTGTAGCTGTGTCAAGCACAGTCTCTGTTGAAATTATATGTTTCTGTGGCTGCTATCAATGGACAGGTACCATTTCAGTAAGTTTTATAGCCTCATGTTCCTAGAACTTTTCTATAAAAATACAGTGCAAATATTAAGAGGATAATGAAACATGATATGCAAATATGCATAAAATACCTCAGATGCTGGCTATGTTTTCATAAAGGAAAGCTGCTTTATGAGGTTGGAATTCAAAGCAGAGAAGCAAAGGGTAGGAAATTAGGTGATTAAGTCTGTTCCCTGCCTTTTAGTTCTAAATTGCCCACTCCAAATTGCCTCAAAAACATAGGGCCCTTCCAGACAGGGTGAAATGTCAGGAGGAACTGGGACATTTAGATCCCAGTTCCATCTGGGATTACTCCCTACATCTCCTCCAAACCCTGCATTTTCCCTGTGTGTCTGTATATGTGGCTACATGCCCTTCCAAGTCAACTCAGGAGGTGCAACTACATTGTAGAATGAATGCATTTTGACACCACTTTAACTTAGTTTCCTGTTCAAAGATGGTTCACTCATGTCATGGCCTGACTGAAGTAGGCGCTCAGTTACAATAGGAAGATGGCAATACAGCACATCCATAGATGAAATGCTTGAAACAGTAACAAATTCCATTATGGTACAGTGGTCTCATTTTAAATTTAAAGCTAGGTTCTTTTGATGATCAAAAAGCACACCAAGCTGTTTTGGCTCACTTGTTCATCCTTCCCTCTTGGCTTGTTCCATTTTCGAGGTTGCAGTCCTACACACACGTTACCTGAGCAAATCCCCACTGAACACAGTAGAATAGAATTAAGAACATAAAAAGAACCAGGCTGGATCAGATGAAAGGTTTATCTAGTCCAGGATTCTGCTCACACAATGACCAACTAAATGCCTTCAGAAAGCCTGCTTGCAGGTCTTTCCTGGTAACCAGTGTGCATAACATTGTGCTGTAAATCAACTGAACAGAACATCCGCAGTCATGGGTAATTCATTTACTGATTTTCCGAGCTATAATTACAAAACTGAAGAATATGTAAACCAATTTACATAAATGAAATAAAGATGCACATATTGAATATTGTGTGCTGATTTTTCAAATAGTGAAGCACCACAAATCTGTGGAGACACTGTATGCTGATAATGGTGGGAGCAATCAAAGGCATCATAGCAAACAATGGTTTGTGGTTTATAGAACCTAAACTATGGACTGAGCTACCATTCAAACAGGAAAACCCCTTTTAAAAGCTTCTATTCCAGATGTTCAGGGCTTATATCACTATACAAAAAGGGAAGGAATAGCTTTAACTGTAATTTGATAATTCAAAAGTTAGATTCAACCACAGTAAATCTAAAGATTTTCCCCTGACATTAAGTCTAGTCGTGCCCAACTCTGTGGGTTGGTGCTCATCTCCATTTCTAAGCTGAAGAGCCAGAGTTGTCTGTAGACACCTCCAAGGTCATGTGGGTGGCATGATTGTGTGGAGTGCCTTCCCGCTGGAGCAGTATCTATTGATCTACTCACATTTGCATGTTTTTGAACTGGTAGGTTGGTAGAAACTGGGGCTAACAGCGGAAGCTCATGCCGCTCCCTGAATTTGAACCAGTGACCTTTTGGTCAGCAAGTTCAGCAAGTTAACCCACTGCACCACTGGGGGTTCCAGAATAGTTAGCTCAAATCAAAGTTTTCAAAGCCACCTTTGAGATGGTTCCTTGTTTTAGTTTACTGCCTAACAGCAACAAAAATAGTTTATGAATTAAAACATTACACCAAAACACAATTCCACTACTTTGTCCATTGTTTGGGGAAATATCAGAACTGTACCAATAATTTCTGAAAAGGCAGTATTAAGAATAATATCTAGAACTCATATTGCATGTGAAGAAGTGAGCAATAATTCTAGGATGTCCATATTGTGTCATATTCTGCCTGTAACAAAATTGTGGTGATAGCAGAGTAATCTTCCCCATCTCACATAACAGGTGTTATTAACCTGTGACTCTCTGCTTCTTGTTTGATTGCAATTTCTATCAGCCCTAGAAATGATTTAGGATGATAGTGTTGCAATTCCATAAGATCAAGAGTCCAACTAGAACATGCAAGTCATAAATTGCCCAACCCTGCCCCACAATAATGATGATTAAGTTAATATTATCTATCCCCACTCCTGCTCAAATGTGCTGCTGTGGCTGGCTGAAAAATGGGCAAGAAACAAATTGAAAATACGAGAACTGTTCTAGTGGTGTACTTGAGAAGTAGAATGATAGCTTCATGTATAGAGTCCATTCTAGTGAACAGTAAATATGGTACTACTGAAGGCCATCCAGCACCAAGGATGTAGCAAAACTAGAATAAATGATCACATAGAATACTATAATACATCTCTATTGCTTAAATAGTAACTTGATAAGGGTGTGTCCCTAAACAATGGCAATCCTGCAGCACTTAGGGGAATTAATAAAAGTGAAAAGTCTTTAACACATGTTAAACTGCAGACTGTTTTGCTAATTGCATTGGTTAGCTTGCTAGCTTGGCCAAAGTAATAATTATCTGGGTAGCTTGTGTATGTTTGTGTGTGTGCACACGTGTAAAGGCTAATGGGCAATTCAGCACACAGTGTTTTTGACACGCTGGGAAACATATGGGCATATATTTAAAAGTAATCAGTCTCCCTTTGTCTCTTTCTTTCTAGACCTGCTGCCACAGCAGTCATATCATTGGCATTTGGACGCTATCTGCTGGAACCATTTTTTATGCAGTGTGAAATCCCAGACCTTGCAGTTAAACTGATTACAGCTGTGGGAATCAGTAAGTACTTGATTTTAGCAGAAACATGACAAAGCAGAAAAAAAGCCCTCTGCACTCAGGACATCCACAATGTAAATCACATGACCTGTTATGCTTAAAATCCAATTTAAAGGAGGCTGAAATGTAATTTTTTTTTAAAAAAATGGTTAAGAATACATTGTTCTTGAAGATATTTCCTTTTGATCCAACATTATAGGATGTGTGAATGAATTTGAGAGCGACCATGATGTATTAGTTTGAATGCTGGATTATGATTCCAGAATAGCAGGGTTTAGATTTCTGTTTAGCCATGGAAATCCATTGGGTGACCTTGGTCATGTCATACTTTCTCAGCTTCTGAGGAAGGCAAGAGCAAATCCTCTCTGAAAAAAATCTTACAAAGAAAATATCTATGTTAGGTTAGCAAATGTGAAGGTATATAGCAGCAGCAATAACCGTAAATGAGTGGTGTGTTTGCATAGTGTGTAGGGGATGAGGGAGAGATTAACAAACTATAGAATGAAGCCTGCACTTGAAGGCTGATGTGGCAGGTTCCAAGGGGCAATATGATGTACCCTCATCCTTCCAACCAGGAGTTCAGGACCTGGCTGAACAAAAATGACAGTAGGATCTGGATAAATTACGTGGTCGTATTGTAAATTGTAAGCTGCTTTGAGTTTCCTTTGGGAGAGATAAAGTGTGGTAATAATAATAATAATAATCTAGAATCCTATACAGATGAAAAATAATATAGAAATACAGTTGTCCCTCCACTCTTGTTGATAAGCCTTTACTGATTTGACTATTTACAGATTACTGTATTTGTCGACGCTTCTGCCCTATATACAGATTTAAAAAATATTTCTAGCTATTTCTGAATCCTCTAGCATAATTCAATCTGCTGGATGTTGACCATAGAATCACAAAGGAGGACCAAGAATTGCTTGGACAGAACACTTCTCTAGGCATGCCTAGATCTTCCAGTGTGATTCTATGGGCAATTTCTGGTGGAGGTTGACCATAGAATTGCACTAGAGCCCTCTGTGCTTCCTTTTTGGTTAATTTGCAGTTTCAGATACACCTGGACAAAACTGTTTTTCAGGAACATTAATGGATTGGTTTCTTCCATCAATACGTTATTGTGATGTTGCCTATGACACTTGTCATGGTTCTACACACAAGATCCACAATGTTACTTGTGGACTGCAGATACTGAGTCCTTTTCTTGAACTTTGATATTCTGCATCACTTTTTTATTTTTTACACCAGTTTGGGAGTTGACAGGCACTTCAACATGTCCTCTGGGTTTCTTTCTCTTCTTTCCTCTATGCATTTTAACTCCAAACTGCAGTCTCTGCAACTAGACAGAGATTTGATACAGGCATGATACTGAGTATGAAACAGCTGACTGTAACTGAATCTAGCAAGGTCTGAAATATTAATGGATTCAGGTCTTGGGTCATAGAGAGAACATACACATTTGACCAGATTTGGCCTCTTTATGGACTTGCCACAGGAAATAATGTTACACAAATGTTCCAAAGTCTGCCTGTGGCTTCCTCTTTTGATGAAGAGTACATTTCTGAAACCCTGTCACTTTCTGTATCCTATTATCACTATCTCAGCTTGCCTTGATTCAGTGGCATTGCAAAAGGGAAAAAAAGGGGGAGCAAATTAAAAAGAAATATTTTTAGGACTCTACTTCAAGAAAAGCTGAACCTAAGTACATTTCTTGGGATGGGATATAAGAGCAGGGAAGATACAAATTACTAATTTTGGGGGAAAGAGTCAGAAAAAGGATGTAACAATACATTCCTCTTCTCGGTTTCTGCAGATATACTGTACCTACTGCAACTTCCTTAGTGCTAGTAAAATGCTAAAATAATATGTTTTTTTTATATAAACAGATATTAGAAAGGAACAGTGAGGCCAAATATTAGAAAGTAAACTGAAGCATCATAAATGTGTGAAACCATACAAGACCTCCCTCATTATACAAGAAAATGCACTCATCTGCCATTTCTTTTAGTTAGGTCATCTTTGAACTTCCATCTCTCCAAATATACAAACAAGTTATTTGCCATTGTGCTTTTCAGCTAAGCGGAAATACAACCGATACTTGCCTACATTTTCCTCTCTCTTCATTATTTTAACACCCAGAACTCGAAGTAGGAAATTGAATTAAGGTTATGCGTTTTAGAGGTTAATGTGAAAATATTTCATGGGAAGATAACGGTAAAGCAGATGTCTAAAAACGGCAAAGGTCCCCGAGGCAGAATTGATGGTGTGAGAGGGACGAGGAGGTGGGGAGGAAATTCCATTATAAATATTTTCCTAAGTGTCTTTAATTTGACCACAATGAGTGCATAATTTGGAATGGGATCTCATCGTGATTAATTTAATGGGAAAAGCTTTGAGATAAGCCAGGATTTTATGCTGTAATTAAAAAGAAAGAATCAGTGTGACAGCAGGGTGGAGTTCTCTTGAAATAATGACACCTGCAGTGAGAGATAGGAGTTAGCAGCAAATTGTTGCCATGGGGACCGAATGAGCGGTTGCGCCGAGCAAGTTGGACCGAGGAGTTGCTGGTTCAATGAAACTAGACTTCTCTTTTAGGAAGGCCTTTGAGTGCAAGCCATAATGCTGTCAGGAGAGACACTGAAAGGCACGCGTGAAGGAGTAATTATAGTAAGGTGAACCAGGATGACACAAGTACAAGGCATACTAAAAACTGCCAAAGAAGCCAGTTTATTCTTAGAGAGGACAGGGAAGAAAAGGGAGGAGAGAGAGGGAGAGAGGAAGAGGAGAGGGAAAGAACTTATTGCCTCTGGGGTTACTCTGTCAGTTGTGCCCAGAGGGTACAAGAAAGACCCAGTATCTGACTCTCTTGGGACGCCAATGCTGATACCTGTAATGATCTTGGAGAAAGAGAATGATCTACAGATCATTTCCCAAAGTAGGGTAATAGTTTGAGAATAGCCAAATCGGATGTCACGTTTAGTGAAATGATAGTGTCAGTCAGTCAACCAATCAATCATTTTATGTCCCACATTCCCTAAAACACACACACACTCAAGGAGGCTTACAGAATAAGAAGAAATAAAACTCTCTCTCTCTCTCTCTCTCTCTCTCTCTCTCTCTATATATATATATATATATATATAGAAAGTCAGCATGGTGTAATGATTTGAATGTTGGGCTATGATTCTGGAGGACAGAGTTCGATTCCTTATTCAGCCATGGAACCTTGGGCAATTCAGACCATCCCAGCCCCACAAAATTCCATGATGGTTTGCCTTAGGGTTCCCATAAGTCAGAAATGACCTGAAGGCACACACCAAGAGCAAACTTCATGCTAAAATAGATACATAAACAAAGGCAATGGCTTTATGGCATTCTATATATATTAATATGAGAGCACAGCCCCCAGTGGTGAAATGGGTTAAACCCTTATGCCAGTAGTACTGCTGACTAACAGGTTAGCAGTTTGAATCTGGGAGGAGTGCATTGAGCTCCCTCTGTTAGCTCCAGCTCCCCATGCGGAGACATGAGAGAAGCCTCCCACAAGGATGGTAAATCATCAAACATCTGGACATCCCCTGGGCAATGTCCTTGCAGCTGGCCAATTCTCTCATACCAGAAGTAACTTGCAGGTTCTCAAGTCACTCCTGACACACACAAAAAAGCTAAAATGTGCAAAATGTTAAGAATAAAATTGTATTAATAAATGTCTATAAAATTAAACTATTAAAAATATAATCTTAAGGGCATGGATTAGATACAGTACATCACAAAACCTCCTCTTTTTAAAATAAAACAATTGGTTTCTGAACACATACTGGAATAGAAAAGTCCTTATTTGTCAGTCAAAGGACAACAAGGAACCATCTGGTTGAGAGGAGTTCCAGAGTACAGGAGAAATAAAAAAAGAAGTCCTCTTCTACATTTTTAGTGACTGTACCTGTGAAGGCAGTGCGATTGAAAGATATTTTCCCCTCAAAGATAAGCGTTGCTCATATGTAGCTCATATAGCAATTTTGGGTTACTTATAAATGTCATGGATCCAAATCTCTCCAATAAATGCAAAGTGTGTAGTAAATAAATCTGATTCAAAAATGGCCAAATGAAATGAGATGACTTCCTCTGTTGCCAAGGTCATTTGGACTCTGTCAGATTGCAATTATTCTAACATGGTGCCAGTATTTCAGGCATATATTATAGGGGGAAAGAAAATAATTCTTATTCCAAAGTGTATGATGTTTTGTAATATGAGTGTGTATGCACACAGAGGGAGGGACTGTGATAAAACTATCTGATCACTGAATGAAAAAAAAGTGTAATTATTTCTCTAGATTAAGAGGAGAATATTTCAGGCAATGGTGAGCCAGAGGCTGCTGGACTGCAACTCAGGGCTTATTCTAATCTCTCCATCCCATATGCTGAAAAGAAGCAAGAAGTCTAGTAATAAGGAAAAAGTTCTCCTCAATCTGCCCACCATCACACTTATTTGGCACGACCCTACAATGGATCCTAGAAAATGGCAGGGACAGTCTCACTAAGATATTGACTAAACATACATTACCAGCACTGTCCCTAAATAGGATGATATTTTGGATCAAATCAGGATTGACAAAATGTATCTCTCTGGTGATGAAAAACATGATTTTCTAGGTGCCGGTGAACTCTTCAGCCATGGTGCAAAAAGCATGTTGAATGAAGTTGACAATGCATGAAACAACCCAATGGGTTTCAAAGTAGGTAGCCATATTTTCATGCATTGGAGAACCAGGCTTTACCCACTCTTAACCTAGGTCAATACCAAGGGTAGCCCCTCGGCTGTGGAACTCCCTCCCCAATGAGGTTAGATCTGATCCCTTCCTCCTGACCTTCTGGAAGAAGCTTAAATCCTGGTTATGGGATCTGGCATTCACAGAATAGTTTGTTTACTGGGAAAGACAAGATTTATTGGACTGGACTTGGACTGCTTTGGATGACGATTTTAATTCTGGTGATTTTAATCT